GTGCGTCCAGTACATTTAATTTACACGGGTATCTTTCGTACTTAAAACACTACATCTTTCTGTTTTTCGCTAGAAGTTAGGAAACTATAGCAGTGTAAGTAGTCCTATTTTAGAATTGTCGTTTCGCTAAATACGTATAGTTTCACTGTCTTGATGCATAAAGAATGGCAAACATGCAAGGAAACCTTGACAAAGCTCCGTTAAGGAATAAATTCCTTTTGTTCGGAAAGTGGAGCGGATCCCCGCGGAGCTGAACTTTTTTTCGGTTCCAGACGTGATCGTGACTCAATAACGATCGAATCTAAATCCATAAATAGTAAATGACAGTATCATCAGCCGTTCTGTAGAAAAATAGACATAAAATTTTCGATTTTTCTTTGTGTGTGTGTATTACTATGTTTTGAAGTAAAACATGGCGTTTAGTGAGCAGAAAAGTTTAAGAATATCGACATTGAAGAGGAAATAGCACTGCTGCACGAAGCGACTTTAAAAGGTAACGAAGCAGAAAAATATTTTCAGTAGGGACGGACGGGTGCCGGTATTAGTGCCGGTAGTTTAGAAAATATGGTGATTAGTTTCAACAATATTATAATACTCTTATAGAATCTCACACTATCTTGGTTTTCATCGATAAGTATTTTGAAATCTTTTGTAATAGAAAGTTATATTGCCGTATAGATAGCCATGATTCCGTTCACCCACCTATTGTGTTCGAAAGAAAATATTAAGTTGAAGTTTCAATGATTAATGAATGTATTCGTATAGGGAAGTATAATCATGTGTAACATTTAGTGCACCACTGGGTTTTTCTTGCGCTTTATTTCGTTGAGTTGCGACTTAAAATCTGTTCATTTCAACAACATAAGTTTTTCCAATTTAGTTCAATGACTTATACAAATGTCCTTGTTCTTGCTGTTCCAATGCCATTTTGTTTGTTATAGTCAATTTCTGATTTCAGTATCATCTTCATCAAATCGAGATAATTATTTCTTGTTTTTTCTTTCTCATTTTTCTAACAGAAATTGATCTAGTCTTATTATAACCAGATTTAATATTATTATACAGTTTCTTATGTATAAGATAAAAAAAAGAAATAGAAAGAGAAGAGAGAGAGATACCATAACTCTAGAACCCCACATTGTGTATTGTGTATGTTCTGTTCTGTCGTCAATATATACATATATTCTATTAGAAAAAACCGTTATTTCTCATTTTCTTTTTGTTCCCGTACCAGCATTCTTTAGCAACCCTGCGTAGCAAGCAAATATTTATTGATCTTTTCTCAATCATCTTAATCATCGACAGCAACAACAACAAACAACAGAAAAAGTGTCGCGTGTATATGCTCTCTCTCACTCAAACACACCACTATGATAACATATTATGCAATGACGAATTTTTCTTCTGTTCTTTCTTCTTTTTCTTGTACATATATTATAGAAGAACAATTTCGCCTCCAATCCTAGAAATTATTATTCGCTTGATGTCATAATACGATACAATAACGCAACAATGGAACAAAAAGAAAATGAGAAATAACGGTTTTTTCTAATAGAATATATGTATATATTGACGACAGAACAGAACATACACAATACACAATGTGGGGTTCTAGAGTTATGGTATCTCTCTCTCTTCTCTTTCTATTTCTTTTTTTTATCTTATACATAAGAAACTGTATAATAATATTAAATCTGGTTATAATAAGACTAGATCAATTTCTGTTAGAAAAATGAGAAAGAAAAAACAAGAAATAATTATCTCGATTTGATGAAGATGATACTGAAATCAGAAATTGACTATAACAAACAAAATGGCATTGGAACAGCAAGAACAAGGACATTTGTATAAGTCATTGAACTAAATTGGAAAAACTTATGTTGTTGAAATGAACAGATTTTAAGTCGCAACTCAACGAAATAAAGCGCAAGAAAAACCCAGTGGTGCACTAAATGTTACACATGATTATACTTCCCTATACGAATACATTCATTAATCATTGAAACTTCAACTTAATATTTTCTTTCGAACACAATAGGTGGGTGAACGGAATCATGGCTATCTATACGGCAATATAACTTTCTATTACAAAAGATTTCAAAATACTTATCGATGAAAACCAAGATAGTGTGAGATTCTATAAGAGTATTATAATATTGTTGAAACTAATCACCATATTTTCTAAACTACCGGCACTAATACCGGCACCCGTCCGTCCCTACTGAAAATATTTTTCTGCTTCGTTACCTTTTAAAGTCGCTTCGTGCAGCAGTGCTATTTCCTCTTCAATGTCGATATTCTTAAACTTTTCTGCTCACTAAACGCCATGTTTTACTTCAAAACATAGTAATACACACACACAAAGAAAAATCGAAAATTTTATGTCTATTTTTCTACAGAACGGCTGATGATACTGTCATTTACTATTTATGGATTTAGATTCGATCGTTATTGAGTCACGATCACGTCTGGAACCGAAAAAAAGTTCAGCTCCGCGGGGATCCGCTCCACTTTCCGAACAAAAGGAATTTATTCCTTAACGGAGCTTTGTCAAGGTTTCCTTGCATGTTTGCCATTCTTTATGCATCAAGACAGTGAAACTATACGTATTTAGCGAAACGACAATTCTAAAATAGGACTACTTACACTGCTATAGTTTCCTAACTTCTAGCGAAAAACAGAAAGATGTAGTGTTTTAAGTACGAAAGATACCCGTGTAAATTAAATGTACTGGACGCAC